GATAGGAATGAAAAAAACACAACATGGTTACCTCAAACTTAAACGCCCCCGCTCTTTTTTTTCTCCGGCGAGAACTTCAGCAACATGGATTTCCGATGAAAGCCCCTATTTTCCTCCCGCTTTCTTCTTCTCGTTTTGCTAAAACTCCGGTTCAAATCGTGTGTTTAGGGTTTAACGCAAGGGGTAAAATATATATGGGCTGTATACAGTGTGATCTTAAGTTTGGGCTTCAAGAAAAACTCTCACGGATCTTTAATCCCGTCAAATACATGGCTGATTTCAGACTTTTCAATTTGTCCCCCTCAACTTCTCCACAGTGTAAGATTTAACCCTTAAAGCAAATATCTTTGTGTCACAATATTTATAAGTTGACAACTTCAGCCCCTTTCTCAGAAAACAATTACAAGTCCCTTAATTATATTATTATATATGTCTTAATTAATTATTGTTATTATTTATTTATTTATTTTATTATCTTTATTTATTATATAACCCTTTAAAAACTATTGAATGCCTTTTATGTATTTTATTCTCCGATATACCTCCTTAGAATATTTATTCCTAATTATGTGATTATTCTTATTAATTTATAAAACTGCTTCCTAAATTAGTAACGAAAAAATAGGACGTTACAACTCTTCCCCACTTAATAATGTTTGTTCCTCGAAATTTCTATCTTCGAACGATTTTGAATAATGTATTCACATTTCATCTTTGGCTCCCCTGTTAATTATAATATGCGACGATGTTACCATAACGTCTTTAGAATCCCAGTTGCACCCTCCTTATGCCTTCCTGATCATATCTAGCTGCAGATTAACTTCAGTTATCCTTAAACATACAACACAAAATGACGTTTTATCGTTATTTCTACAAAGCACATTAGCTACCACATCAGCTTTACTCGGGTGGTAAAGCATTTCACAAGCATAATCTCTTAGTAAAACTAACCCTCTATGATGCTATAAGTTCAAATCCTGCTAATTCCATAAGGCATTTCAACTTTTGTGATCAATATAAATCCTACACTTCAACCCATATAGATAATGTCTCCATATCATAGAGAAAAAACTATGATTCTAAATTCGAAATTGTGAGTCAGATGCCTCAAGTAATGTAGCTTCAATTATCTTGAAACATTACTGATAACTCCCCCCCCCCCCATCGCATGAGTATCGCCCATCTCTTTCCATTAGGATTGACCAGTTCTCCACCACTTAGGATTCGAACTTGTACTAACTGTTGCTCGCAATCGATTAGGGCACGACATCACCTCAACACATCCATAACTACCTTTATACTAGTTGGTTACCTCACTCTTCTTTCTTGGAATTTGTCAGTGATTTGTTTTGCTTCATCGATAGGAACTCCTTCACCATCCTGTTCATCTCCACCAACGATATCTATTCCTTTTTGAATAATCCTTTGAATTCCTCCCATGTTATGGCTATCACTTCTTCATTGGTACACGACTTTGTCAACAAGTCTCATCAGTCACTCGTTTCATTGTGCATCATAATCGTAACCGAAGATATCTTCATCTCAGCAGGACGCAAACCGGTACAAATGGCACCCTTAATGTCAGGTAGTTGTTCACTGCTCACCAACAGACCTTTCTTCTTATGAAAAAGTGGTGATTTATACACCAAGAAGCTTCAATACTCTATCCACTAGACAACCTCTAACCTAGGACTCTTGTATTTTGCATCGTAGTGGCAATCTTCCTGTCAAGCAATTCTTCCATCTCAACTTTGAGTTGTGCGAACGACCCTAGAAACATCTCTTGAATGGCTTCGTGAACCTCACTAACAATAAATTCCTAATAGTAGGTATCTCAGAACCCCCGGATACGTCGGATAGTCTACCCCTAGTACTCACTATTTTCTAAAACGTAATTAAGGGATATTATAACATTAATACTTGATCATTTATACATTACTTTTTATATTAACTTATCAGTCCTTTAGGCCTTTTCGTGATTCTTCCCGACTTATGTGTCGATCATGTCCTTTAGATAGTACATACCCTCACTACCTTTAATATCGACATATATTTGTTCCGAGAGATCACACGAAACTTCCTTATATACATGATGGGTCTAATACTTATCTACTTATTCATCGATTTATTATTCCTTTCACATCATGAGTATACATTCCTACTCTAGCATTTCATGTTATCTTAAGTTTCTCCGACAAGCAAGCCTACACTGTGGATATATGACAATTCATCCCTCAGAACCAAATAAGGCCTTTAGAAGTTGATTCTACCCTAAGACCATAACCAAAAAAGGAACATGAAGTAAGGCCAAATCATTTCTCTAAACCTATGTAATACTAGATGTATACAATCATTACATTCAAGATACATGCTGCCTGTAGGATCTAACTGAACATCACTAAAGCATATACTTCACATAACACACATATAAGGCATGTAAGCATATAAACATCATAAGAACATAAGCAACATAAACACATAAACATCCTGATAAGTAATTTTAGCATGAAAAGCATAAACATTACATAAATCATAACACTTTTACATGAAGACTTATTATGAGTAAGTGGCTCACTACTCGTTGAGTTCTGGATGACTGCACGCTTCACACTCTCTTCTTTTTCTCAAACTTTAACATTCAAACTTCATTTATTTATTTAGTTATTTTTCTCACATTCTTATTTTGAAACTTTTTTTTGAAAAAGTTTGAGCATTGGTTTGAGCTTAAACACACAAGTGTATGTCTAAATCCCTCAAACCACCATGCTCTGATACCAACTTGTAACGACCCAATTTTTTTTATTAAATATATATAAAACATAAAAATCCAGTCGTTATCTTTTTTAAACTATAATTAAATTTTTCAAAAACATTTAACCATACTTTTAAAATAATACCTTAAAAAGAAACATTAGCAGATGGAAAAACATCTCAGGTTTAAAACATAACATTTTTTTCATAAAAGTTTTCAAGCGAAGGTCGCCGACAGTCACACTCGTCTCTTTCCTTTATTAGTACTTAACGATCCTGAAATTTTTTAAATAACAACAGGTAAGCATCACGCTTAGTGAGAATACACCTTACTCTACCATTATAAAGATCACTTACTTACACATAGCATAACATTTCACATAAAGTATAAGAAATAAATGTTCCTAGCACATATTGTTGGTACCAACCATAACCTTGTTCCCCTTCTGGGAACTACCCCCTTACTTCATAATAAGGAGATAAGAGATAAGATTGCATGTCGCCTCACTAGAGAACAAACTACATTCTACATTTCATTGTTCACTCTACTAGATTAGGCTATCCATGAACCATAACATAAAACAAGTAATGCCTACATAATAGGAGAGTTAGTGTAACTCATCTCCTTGAACTTGAAAATTTAGCTTGTAGAAACTAGAGGGATCTTTTCCTTTCTGAGAACCTACACAATAATTATAACATTACTCAACATGTGCTTTATTGCATTACCCATACAATACTTGTATTTATACTTTTTTATCTTCTCTTTAGTTGTAGTGTTCTGTTTGGGATATGATTTGTTAACTTTAAACTCATAATTCAGGTCAAATTAAATTATATTTGTATAGTTCCCTCTCTTACCTTTTCGGGAATATAAAGATCTCGTTCTAATAATTTGTTGATTTTATATTAATTTTACAAGTTATCAAGTTTGTGATGTTACTTTCCGTACCTACCTGTAAAGGTGGTAGCCTTTAATCTAGTAAGATATAAGTTAATTCTTAGGAAAGATTCATGGTATACTAGACATTATACCCTAACCATAGCCTCTGAATTTTCGTGAATTGGAGTTTTATAGAATTAATTATGCATGTCACAAATTAATGTACAATTTCAATCGTTTACCGCACCACTCTATACTGTACAAATATACAAAGAATTACATCAAGCCCTTGATATGGAAGAAACTATACATCCATATCTAACTAGGCTTTATAATTCTGGCATTTGGGCTTTTAATGAATTTATTATAATTTTTAGAAGACAATGCATGAAATATGTGACAACACAGACCATTCTGAGAAGATTAACCAATTTACGCTTCAAGGATTTGGAATGATGAAAAACAATTCAAATTTTGCAGAAAGAAGACACACTAAGTTTTCAAGAAAACCAATTTTCATGATTTTTAGGTATTCTGATTGCCCTGTATGAATTTTTGAAGTTGAAGGGAACAATTGGAAAGATAGGTCATAATCATTTTTATGTCACTTTTGGTGTCTCATTAGGGACTTAATGGTTAAGCTTCAGTCTTAACACTTTAGGCATAATAATTGGTTACATATAAGGTTTCCAAATTGTATGAATCTTCTTTACTCCAAGGTCTTAATGCATGAATTTATAGAAATATGAAATTAATTCTTTACTATCCATTTAAAATTTTACATACTTCAGGGTCAAGCTTCCATCTTAACCCATTGACCCCTTTATGGCACCATAACTAGAAATTAAGACCTTATACAAAACCACCACTTATTTGTTATCTAATGGTGGTGTTGTGGTGGTCAGTGGTAGTCTTATCGTTGTTTTAACAACACATGCCAAGGAAAAGAAAACAAAGAGAAGAATTGATAGGAATGAAAGTAACAGAACATGGTTACCTCAAACACATATGACAACGTTGGAGTAACCTCCTTCCATTCTCCCTTTTCCTCCCGCGTTCTTCTTCTTGTTTTGCTAAATCTCCCACTCAAATCGTGTGTTTAGGGTTGAACGTTTATCCCTAATTATGTGATTATTCTGATTAATTTATAAATCTGCTTCCTGAATTAGTAACGAAAAATACGACATTACATGTACCCAACATACAAGAGTGTATAATGTTGAAGTGAATAGTTAATAAAATTCATCGGTATTTATATATATATATATATATATATATATATATATATATATATATATATATATATATATATATAT